AAAAAGGGTCTCTGTTTGAGTCTTTGTTTATAAACTTGGGCAATACATATGTAGGACTGTTATTGAAAAGGATGCGGTTGAAATAACTTCTTTTCCAACTGAAAAGCACAGGTTTCTTGGGAGAACATTTCAAATGACAAGTTGCAGTAATAACGCCTGGCTAAATGTCAGAAGGGAGGAAATGCCATAGCGGAGACTTCATGCAGACTGTGTCTATCCCAGGACTTGTGCACCTCAATCACCCTAAGCAGGATCACACGTTTGAAGGAGAACATCCATGGAAGACTGTTTCCAGGGATCAAATGTATCTGGAACCTCTCCTGTGAGCAGTGCTTGATTTTGTCATGTGAAACTTTCTGTCCCAGACCAGACTGGGCTCAAGCTTGTAGGAAAAATAGTGAGGGGGAAGGGGGCAGTTTGTTTTTAACAAAACAATGTTATGCAATATCTTGTAGTGCTGACATGTTCCCAACATGCCACAAATGAAGAACTCACTAAATACAGCGTATCTCTGGCCATATCATTTGAATATATCTTGTTTCCATGACAACCTCATTTAACAGCTTGGCAGATATGAAATCATTCCTAGATGGGGGAGCTTTTGCCAAAATCATTTGTATTCAACACTTTAATACCGTGTATTAGGTTTTAAAAATATTTATTTATATCTGCAGAGGCAAATATCCAGTTAAAATTCTTTCAATTTCACCTCTGCTTTGGCCTTTGCTTATCAATTTGTCTTCCTAGGAGCCTGTCAAAAGCAAGTCCTGTGTTTCTGAATATGCTTCTAGAGTCATGGTCGGTGATTCTAGAGCAAGTGATGGTCATCCTGTTCCAGCATTTGATACAGAAATTATATTTGAGGATTGTTGGTTGATTTTTGTGGCCAAAGGGACATCAGCAGCCTGGTGACCACTCAAGCCAGTGAAGGCTTCTGTTGCTGCTAGCTTTGGCTAACTGCTGAATGCCCATGTTAACTGCAGTTAGAGAGATCCTTCGCCTGCATTTCATGCAGTTTAATTTGTATTAAGGGCACTAAAAGAAGCCCAGTTACTCTGCTAGAAATTCTGCAAGGTGTCACACCTGTCATCTCTAAAATAGCTGATGAACTGTGGAACACTTCCAGTGTAGGCATGAAATATGACTGCTCAGATGGTGCTTGTTCCCTTCCTTGCTTCCAGGTGCTAAATTGCAGTAAAACACAGCTAAAAAAAGCCTAATGCTTTCCCCGTGTTTCTCATGCACACAGGTATTGTAGTTGCCACAGTGACAACGCACAGCTGTTGGGGAGAGGCAGGATGGTGCTGAAGGCCTGACGATGCACGCGGCCTCTCCGAATCCCCGTGCCTGCACACCGCAGAGTGCCCTGCTGTAGCTCTTCAAACAGGCAAATAACTTTCCAAGCACCTGTAATATGCCCACTTTGGGGGGTATATTACTGATCGCAAGACTTTGGGATCAGCAAGGATTATAGGAGCCTGATTTAAGATCTAAAGTGAGACCGTGGAAAAGACTTACGAAGTATTTGGCATTTAATCTGGCTGCAGTGAGCCTCCTTCAGCTCTAATAATCCCCATCGTGAAACCCCTTGGGCCTTGCTGTGGCCAAGAGGTTCTGAATCTTCCCTGGGGGCAGCAAAACAGTGCTAGAAGCTTGCAGAATGTGTCAGAACAGCATTTTCAACCCAACTTTTCTTTTGCCATTTGTTGCCTGGAATTAGCTGAGCTGATCTAACTGCTGACTGCAGTTGTAGTCTGTAGTCTCCCAGCCACACACATCTGCTTTTTAAAGCCCCTTTATAATCTGATCCAGTTCATTAAATAAACAAATACATACATATTTATCTAGAAAACTCTGCAAGAACCAGGAGCACATGGCTGGGAGCTGTAAAAGGAGTGAAGATTGGAGATAGGCAGCCCTTCTGCCACGGAGAGCTTTGACTCATCCTTGCATCACCGTCTTGCAGTGCAGAACCACACCTTAGTACAGCTTGTTTATTGTACATCTCCTGAAAAGGTTCAAAGCACAGGGGATGGCTTCAGCTGAGTTCCTTTAAAGAGGAGGCTTCCATATATAAGACAAACATTAGGGAAATGTGTATTTTTTTTTTTTAATTAAAGCCCTATGAATATCTAAAACTGCTAATATCTTCCTGGGATTTTAAACCTCTGAATTGATGTTGTTCAAGAAGTGCTGGCAGCACACGGCAGCAGAGCAGAGTCAGGTTATCGTTCTCACCGTCGTTTTTCCTTGTGCGATGCATCTCGGGAGACTCATTTTTGCCTCTGTGTCACGACTTCTTAGAAATCTCCCTAGGCAAAGGATGTGCTAATTCAGTGCATCCTGCGATTGCCCTTCCTCCACAGCCAGATTAATTTACAGTTCTTTGCGATTCCCACAATGTACCTTGCGCTGCTGTGAAGCCTCGTATTTACTGATGTAAACAAGAAATGAACTGAGGCTTTTTTACATGTCTCATTTGGAATAATGATGCACACTCCGTAGCCTGGCTTTCACATGGAGGTGTGGGAATTGTACTTGCATATTGTTACCTACAGCTCAGATTGCTTATAACATAATAATTTATTTTCAACCTGAAACATAAGGTTTTAAATCATGACTAGCTCGCTGATAATGGAATCTGGAGGTTTTCATTGAAACTTATGGTTCCCATTACAGAGGCAGGTGGAAGATTTTAAGTTAGATAGTTTTTGGTAATATAGTCTTGTAGGTTTTGGTTTCTCATAGCTTTGGCCTTATTTCCAGAGTGGTTGGGCAGTATATCCAAAAACTGACACCTCATCAGCAAGCTTAGCAGAAAAATACCAATATTTTAATAGATGCAGAGACCAAGAATTGCAGACATGGAGCAAGGTGAGGTCCCTTTGGGTCAAAAGCGACCCAACCTGGCTTCCTGGCTTCTCCTGATCTAAGAATATCCAGGCTTCTGGCTCTCGATACAGCCATTTATTGATATTTTTCAAAATTAACATTTTTGATGGGCTCATCACCAAAACAGACATCAAGCTCAGAAAAAGCCTATCATTGGACTGGAGTGTCCAAGCTCTCCTAAATTATCATTATCTTCTGTCTTCTATTTAAAGAGAAGTAAATTAAATTGCAAGAGATGGTGCAACTGGTTTTCCAGATCTTATTTGATTTGGCTAAGCAGTTAGCGTTTTCCATCTGCACAATATAATCATTAACTCTTTTTTTTTTTTTTTTTTTTTTTTTTAAGGGTTATCTGTACCATTTATTGCTGTTAGATCTCATGTCTGAACGAGCGTGACTTCACCATTTTTTTTTCTGTTAGGATGAGGTATATATAAAATTATTCATCCTACTAAATATACTTGCAAGGAATCCTATGTGATTCATGGTCTTTGATCCTGCTATCACTTACGTGGGCGTTTCGCTTTACTACTGTGCATAGTCCCTCTGGGAGAGTCTGATTTTATGAAATTCTATTACAAATATAGCGTGAGGTTTCAGCACATGTCCACGCTGGATTAGGAGGCACATATAGCAGCAGGCGTGTAAGTTAAAGAGGTTGCAAAGAAGACAAGTAATTCCTCTGTCCCTTCAATTTTGAAGCAATGTTAGCCCATCCATGGTTAGTTTGTAGTTGTTGATCCCTTGTTTTGGGGAATGTGTGAGAGTTTTGTGGCCTGAAATGTGCATTTTCTGGGCTATTTTGGTGCTTTTCAAGCTGAACCACGGGAGCGGTTTTGAGGAGGCAGCGCCAGACGTCGGGTTTACAGCAGGTCGCCCACGGGCAGGGGCAAGTGCGGTGCCACGGCGGGGACCTCCTCGCTGTCCCCAATCGCGGTGCTTTGGACCTGCCTCCCTGCCCCTCTCTTGCCCCTCGTGCCCCCGAGGCTCCCGCTTCACGTCCTGGTCGCCCGTGTCCCCGTCACCTCCCCATGCCCGGCCCCCCGCGGGCTGTCCCGACTCGGCCCGGCCCGGCCCGGCCCCGCGGGCTGTCCCGGCCCCGCGGCCTGGGGCGGAGCGCGGCCAGGGAGGAGGGAGATGGCGCTGGGCGCCCCCGCGCCGCCGCCGGGCCCGGGGCTGCCGCTGCACTCGCCATGGACCTTCTGGATCGACAAGTGAGTGCGGGGCCGCGGCAGGGCGAGCGGCGGCCTCCCCTCCCCGGCCCTTCTCCCGCTCCGTGTTTCCACGTCTCCCTTCCCGGCCCCGCAGGCCCTTCCCGGCCCCAGAGCTCGCTCGGCTTTCCTCTATTTTTTTTTCTCCCTTAAAAAACACACTATTGGGACTGCTGTGCCTGTGCACTGCCCAGGCAGTGAACCCACGGGAACCCCCGGTCTGCTCCACATCCACTGCTGCGTTGTGGTTTGTGAAAAAGTGTGATTTCATTGTGTTAAATGCTTTTGAAAACACTTTTTTTCCCCAATCGATTTGTCCCTCCCTGCCCCTTCCCTCCCATGAGTCCATGTAAGTGCACTTACTTAAATACTATTGTTGTTGCTTTAGTTATAAGACTAGTAGCATATGTCACTTGAAAAAATATATAGCTGTCACCTTAAATTTCTGGAAGTTCAGGGCTGGTGGTAAAGAAATATGATGCAAACCTGACTAGTGATTTACAGCCAGGGCTCTTGCACTTTGTGGTAAAATAGCACCCGGGATGTGGATGACAGCAGAGCAGGATGGAAGTTTCCTACCCCAAAAGCCATTTTGTGCACTAAGGGGCTCTTAAGAATCAGCCTAAATTGTTGCAGAGATGGATATGTAGAGTTGTCTTTTTTATTATTTTATCACTATGAGAGAATTCCATAACTTCTGTTCTAAGAGCTCAATAACATGTCATTAAGTTATACTGTTAAAATAACACCCATTGGCTCAATCGTGTTACTCATAGCAGCTGTGACAGGCGACCAAACACCTGCCTCGGGTTTGGTGCTGACCTCACCTGTATAATATTATCACTTGATGCATCTCCTGCTTCAAAAGTCAATGTCCTATCTCCTATTGGCATTTATTTGTGTAGAGACTTTGGCAGCAGCACCTGGAGGCTGTAGTCCTGGGAGCAGGTAGGCTTTGGTAGTGGTTTCTTTGGTGGTGCTGGGCAGATGAGTTTTCTGTAAGCACAGAGCCTTTTTTTGGTACCTGTGGCTACAGCATTCACCATTTGATATTGCTTTCTCATATATTACCCCATATTTGTCTTAGTAAAGCAAGAATGATAAAAAATGTTGGGAGAATATTATTCATCAGCTTAGCACGTAAGATCTTCAAACGTCAGCAGGTCAGCCAGTTTGTAGGAAAAGTCAGAAAAACTTTTGTTTTTCTTTGAAAAATATATTTTCTTTTTAATTGTAAAAAAAATTCTTCAGTAAATTCAAACTTTTACTAGTGTTAGTAGCTGCCTTTTTTTTTCAGGCTCACTGGGAGGAGCCGGAGGTTTGGTGTGTGGTGACTTTTTGGTATAATGTGTGAATGTACATGTGGTGATGGGGACACTTGGTGCTAACACAGCAACTTTAACCAACTGCAAGGAAAACATCAGTTAACTTCTTTGCAACTCAGTGCTGCTGGAAAATAAGCATAGATTGCCTTAAGGTCTGGGAAAGAAGGCTTGTGCCCAGCTGAATCTGTCTAAGATCCCCTTCATTTGGGGAAGTGTTACTGTGTGTCTATATAGACAGAATGGTAGGATCCCACCTGGCCTGTTGTGTCTCTTTGCCTGTTTCCTAGCAGGGATTTTAAGTTATTTTGTTGCTGTTGTAAGAACAATTTAACTTTTATGTATCTGTTCTTGGAGAGGAAGAACATGCTAATCTATGCTATCAAATGTAATGCTATTAGTCTGCTCCAGGAAAGTGAAAATGTTCTTAGAAAACACATTATCTTTGTATGCTTATTTTTCTCACTCCATGTTACTCTCATGAGTTTTTATATAAATAAACTTTACAGATAAATTCTGATAACTGAGCAATTTTCATAATAATTGTGAATTTTCATAGCTGAACACATCAAATATTTGAAACAAAGCTTAATACTTTCCCTTCTTCCCTATGGCAAAATCTTATTTATCTAGAATCCTCTATTCCATCTATTAAAGCTCATGAGTAGGTGGCTTACAATGAAAAATGATGGTTAATATTATAAAAATGTTCAAACCAGTAAATGCATTTTGACAGGCTTTGATAGCTTGAAATCAGTCTTTGTCTGGATTCAGAATGGATTACTAGATTTGTTGAGTTGCCACAGCATGTTGTCTGAGTGCAGGCTTTGGAATTAAATATTTTGCTTATTTATACCAAAGCCAGCTGCAGCTAAATACTTAGTGATATTTTTCTGACGTACTCTGATGCTTTTAAAGTCGCTCCCACTGAAGCCATGAGAAGATTCCCCTTGGGAAACAAAGGCCCTTGTGACAGTGTGAGCACATCTGAAAAAACCCTGCGCTTAATTCTCTGCCGGCAGACAGAAGAGCTTCAGTTCAGCATTAGACATGAACATGAGCATGACCACCTGGAGATTTGCTCCAAAACAATGGCGTTTATCCTTGTGTCTTTGTTCATTCTTCATGGCAGAATAATGAAGAAGTAGCTGCATTGGGGTTCAGTTTGGGCAGGTTACACACGTCTTTTTCTCACACTCTTAACTAATGCTCTTGCACTTCACAATAAGGTGGGGGAGACACCTGGAAATTACTTGCTCGCTGTGGCTTGAGTGGAAAGTTCAACTTGTCATGTCAGATTGATATTGCTGCCAATGGCAGTAAAGTTATTCCAAGGGAGTGAATCCTGTCCTGGCTTGATCAAGTCAAGTATTTGCAGTTTTCCTGGTTTCTTGTAGCAGGTATAGTGAGGTTTTTCAGCAAGGTGCACAACCACCTTATGACTGCTAACTTATAACCATTTGTTTGGCGAAGCTGCAAAACTAGGAATTTGTACATTTTTTTTTAACTTGAAACTTATCTACCATTTGTGCTACTTAAACATTTCTTGTTGTGTTGTGGGGTGTTTTTAATGCTCTTCTGTGGGTTTCAAGGCACAAAAACCAGGCAGTTGTTCTCCATGCTGATCTGTGGAGCTTATGGGTGTCTATCACAGAATCACAGCATTTCACGTGTGTCACTGTCCTGTAACCTGGCAGGAAATTGTGTGCTTTTTCCTCTGGTTGTCTGTAGCTTGAGTACTTTGTTTCAGTGTCTGCCACTTTGGTTGATTGTGACTAATACACTGTTTCTGCCTAACACTAATGCATTAATCCTAATTTATGCAAGTGTAATGTCTCCTAGTGTGGCAAATGACACAACTGAAACTTTATAAAATGATAACATACATCAATTTAAATTTGTAGTCTTTCCAATAGTTTGTTTCTCCCAGCTAACCAAATCACGAGTTGGGGTATTGGCTGCAGCCAGAAGTAACAGATTACAAATGATCTAGGGGCATAGGGTATTTCTGAGAACTTTGAACATTATTTAAATGTAAGTTGGATATGACATAAAAAGGATTAGTAGGTTATTTGAATATTTATTTTGGAGAATGCTACATCTTTTCTAAGTTTTATTTGCAGCTATCAAAATGAAACTTTTGATGAGTTTGGAGTGGAATGTTCTGTATTTCATTCTTAACCCATTTTTCAAATGGCTTTCCAGTTCCTGAATGGCTCCTAGGAGCATCTAGATAACCTTTGGCTATAGTTACATAATATCTTTTCATCTCACATTTCAATGGATTTTATTATCACAGAATCTCAACAGCAGTATCAGCCTGGATATATAGAGTGATGATACTGTAAAGTCACGAGGCAAAGTTAACTCCATTTGTATTGGTGGCTATTGAGGCAGCAAATTGGCAGAAGAAGCACTGAGTGTCTTTGTTTTTGTTCAGTTAGTTTGAATTTCTCTGTTTGTACTTTAATGTTGAGTGCAAAAAAGGCAACTTCAGTCTATCAGTTCTCTATGATAACTTTCATAGTACACAGATCGCATTAGCAGAGCCAACGCCTATCAATTGCTTGTCTGTTTTTGATAACCTTTGGTTAAAGTAATTATTGACACTTGGACATGTAATATACTGTGCTTTATTTTTTATTTTTTTTTTTCCTTAAGATGAAATGGAAGTTGCTTTGCCCCAAGATAAAGATGCTTTAGTGACCTTAGTTCTGCGTGAGAAACAGCACTTTGGAGTCGGAGCTTGCTGAATTCGTGTGCTGCTCAGGTGCCTTTGTAGTTTTGTGCCATCTAGTGGTGTGTGCGAGCAAGCAGGACTTCCAAACTGGAACACAATTCTGCAAATTGACAATACAGTACTTCAAATTTAGAACTAATTACACAGCTAGCATTTTTAAAAAGGTGGAAGCGAAATAGTGAGTTTTTTTTTAAATAGACGGAGAAACATCTGGATTATATTGGATGAAAATAAAGAGAAATAATAGATGATAGCTTGAAACCTTTAAAATCAAACTCTTTATAAAGGCTGATAGGAAAGCGGAGTGGTCATTAAAAGGAATGCAATTGTTCTTGGTTTAAAATCTTGTCTAGTTGAAACTTAATTCTGCAGATAACCTGATAAATCTCAACTCACCCTAACTTATAACAAGTGAATTCCAGTTTTCAGGTAATGGTAACTTTGACAAATGAGGTGTCAGCTTCTTATTAATATGATTCACTTTTCTCCACCTCCCTTCCTTTCCTCCTGCCCCCAGGTAAAATACCTATTTTCATCAACATCTACTATTTTTCCTTTTTTTCTATTTTCTATTTCTATTCAAGGTCACTTCCTGGTACAACAGCAGCTGAATGTGCATCAAACTTGAAGAAGATTTATACAGTGCAAACAGTGCAGGTAAGATTAGCTCTGCAACAGTAGTTCCTACACATGCAAATCGCAACTTAAGGTGTGGAGTTACATTAACACTCCTACGGGTGAGTCATTCGTGCCTTCACTCACCTGTGGTGTGGAATGTAAGTACTGCCCTTTGCATGTGGTATCACTTAGTCATTCTTTGAATTTTATTTGGCTTTCCAGACCAAAATAGGATGAAGTATATTGATTTGTTTTGATCACACAAGCCACCTCCTCAAACATTCCAGTTTCCTTTGGTGCTGCTATTGGATTGTTGTATTCGATGTGCTTTATTTATTCTACTCTTTTCTCTAGTTGAGCTTTAATATGTCAGAATTGGAGCTTGTGGTTGTGATCTTCCTGCTCTACTCTTAGCACTGCAGCAGGCTGGCCAACTGATAATTGTGAATTTGAGTCAGTCACAATAATTCTTTTCTCATCTTTTCTTTCATCAGCTTCCACAGGCGACTGTTTAGCACTAAAAGAGCCAAAAACAGAAAACAGAACTCAATATATGTCCTTAATTTTGATATCCTTTGTTATATTCTTGATAACTTTTCTTCAAATGACTCTTAGGTAGAATTGCCAAGGGTCACAAAAGTTTTCACATATCTTTTGGTTTTAAGGTTGCATTTATGTCTAAAGTTACCTGACAGCAGGTTGCTGCAACATACATCTTTAAAACCTTAAAGAAATGAAACAAGTTGACTTCAGAGCACTTTATAACAAAGTGCAAGAAGATGAATTACCTTAGCAGTAAAATATGTGATGGTTTTGGAGAAAATGAACAAGAAAATGGACGTTAATCAGCTTGAAATTTCTTCTCACATGTTAATGCAACTATCTTTTCTTTTTCTTGTTTTCTTTCTTAAGAATTTCTGGAGTGTCTACAACAACATCCCTCCTGTGATGGATTTGCCTCTAAGATGTAGTTACCATTTAATGAGGGGAGAGAGACGGCCGCTTTGGTGAGTCTGCCATCATTAGACGTTTTGGGGCGGGGGGGGCAGTAAAAAGTGTTAAGTACTTGGTGAAGGGAGGCAAGAGTGAGACAGGAGTGTCTTGTCTCTGTTGCCTGCAACTTGCTGAACTAAAGATGCTTCTTCTCTTCTTCCCCAGAAGCTGAGTGTAGCATATATTCTTCCTAATAAAATTCATTTACCTTCTAATTAAATAGCTTAAACATTTTGGGGGAGTTTTGTTATTTTTTGACCTCATTTCCACTAGGTACTGATTGAATTAGAATTCTTTAACTTGATCTTAGCATGTCTAAGTAAACGTTGACTTACTACAGGAGGTTTCCATCCTAATCTGAAGAAGAAAATAACTTTCTAAAGTGAAATATGTCTGAGAATATACATTACACTTCTAAAAATACTGTAACTGGTCAGAATAGCTAAAGTGTGTTGAAAGAAATACTGGTGCCTGTACAAATCAAGCAGGCAAGTGTGTGCAGGTCTTGGTGTCTTTGTCAGGATGGGTGGGAACATTTTGTTTTCTCTCTATTTTTAGTTTTGATTTGGTAAGTAACTAGCAGGGGTGTGAAGTATAAAGATCTTTTCTTGAAAATGATACATCTATTTTAAGAGCATCAAAGTAAATGCATATGCTGTATTTTAGGAAAGGGATTGCAAGACGTTGATATCATCAAAGACCACTAGCTTTTCAGTAATTACCACAGAAGCTTTTCTCTGATTACAGTTGCAGCATGCTGGCTAATTGCAGTGTTGTTTTTAAGAGGAAAAACTAATTCTAGAGTGCCAATGGAGTGAAAAACTACAGATATTGGAAGCTGTCATTCCAAAGTTTGTCTCTCAGCTTTCCCTAGTGCTTGGATTAGTGGGAGCCCATTATCTTGGGGAATCTTTTTAAGCTTTAGATTCAACCCTCATTGGCTTAGGTATTGAAAAAGTATATTTCAGAATATGCCTATGAAAAGTTCAACTTTGCTTTGCAGAATTCTAAAAGAAAACTAAAAACTCCAAATATGAAATTTATAAAAAGAATAGTGACAGAATAATCATGAAAAGTCTACAGGTTTATTGTTCTGCCTCTATCATTATAAAACAGTTTCTGTCCTGATCACAGACAACTGCAGCCTTTTTCTCTAAATAAGGACAATTAATTTGTAGCTGTCACAGAAATGAAGTGTTTTCAAGTTCTTCTGTTAAACTGAATGAACTTGAGAGTAACAAGTTGCTTATGTGAAAATATGCCAGAGTTTTTCCAAAATAAAGGTTACCATAGCAAAACATAAAATTGCTTTGTGGCATGTTCCCATATAGTGTGCAACCACATCAAAGATAGCCTGTGGTCAGGGGAAATATAAGTATTTTCCAACACACAAAACCGAGGAGAGGGATTAGGTGTTGAGAGACACGCTTCATATGAACAATGAAAGATTAATCTCTGATGTCAAAAGTCGTAGCTTGAGTCATGCTACCTGGAGTTAGTAATTGCGTTTCAAATAGTGTTTTTCTGGGAAAATTAAACCCCAGACATAGGTTTATCTCAATGTGGATTTGAATGTTTATTTTACTGATATATTTCCCATGACCAGGGAAGAGGAAAGTAATGCCAAAGGAGGTGTATGGAAAATGAAGGTCCCTAAAGAAAGTACGGTACGTAATACTCACCTTTTACTTAGAAATGATTTAACAATGGAGTCTCTTTAAACTCAGCAAAGTTTTTCTGTTTTGACATCATTCAGCACAACAATCAAACACTGTTTTAAAATCCATAAGCTTTTATTGCAAGACAGTGAGAGAGCATTTCTTTTTAGCTAATCCAGCATCTAGTTCTTGACAGCATTTGCCACTGTATGGTCAGTCGAGCAACAGCTCAAGTGTTGCACTCCAATGCTTGCCTTGGCAAGTGTAGTATTTTATAAGCACATTTGTTCTTAAGACTCTCTGTGCTTGCAGGTGTGCAAAACAATATAAAGATCTTTTTCTGGTAATGCTAAAAGCTCTGTTATAGCCAGATCCTTAGTGACACTCTTCAGCAATGTCACACACAGTCTAGCTCAGCTGCTGAGGTTGCGTTGCAGTGCAACAGGCGACTAAACTTTCTGCCAGGCTCAGTAGGACTGTTGGTGCTTCCCCCTGCTTGTTTGCACCTGTGTAGTGATGTGCATAGCCCTGTTTGCTCTGCACCTTCCTCATGCTAGTCGAAGACTGAGGTTTTGCTTCCCTGGATAGCTGGTCCTGGTGAATGGCTTGTTTCCACTGGAGGAGGGAAAATCTTGCTTGTTTTCCTTTTCTGGTTCTGCTTGCGCGGGCAGTGATGCTCACTGTGTCATTTTGTGAGCCAGTTTAACACACAAAGATGGCAGATTATTTTATTTTAATTTGTTCAGCAGCTGACCAAGGGGTATTAGTTTACAGGATAAAGGAGGAACAAGAGAGTGGGATAGTTCCCTTTGCTAGCAACAGTGAGCTGTCACATCACCTTGTGCATGTCTTCTGAAGTTATAACACTTTCTGATTTGTTCTTTTTTTTTGGCTTTGCTCTTTTATTTTAAAATTGAAGAGAGAAAATCTGTTCAGGCATGTCATTGTTTTAGCCTCACTCTTTGTGCTGGGAGTTGTGCCCCTATTAAAAGCATGTGAGTAACTTTTCCTGTGAACTGTCACACCGAAGAGATTTGACCTATTCACATGTGTTATTTATGTGTTTAAGTGTACTCTGGATCAGGCCTTTAAATGCTAAAAGTGAAGTGTAAGAGAAATGTGACAGCCTTGCAAAAGGCATTAAATGCTGAAAGATGGTACTTGAAATTTCAGCCAAAAGTTAATTGATTTTGCCTGTGGGTTTTTCTTTTTCCATATGTGAATTGCAGCTTTCCTTTTCTCCTATCCCAAGTGATCGCGAAAGACTGAAAATTTCCTTTTCCTTCTATAATCCAAAGTGTGAAGATTGTCAGAAGTGACAAGTGACTTTGGGGGGCCTGCATTTTTGGGTAGTGCAGTTAGAGATCTCAGACATGTGTTTTTCAGAGGCTAAATGATCACCACTTTTTAAAAGAATAACTATCAAACACTCCCGGTCACTTCTGAATGTTTTAATTGGAGATTAACTTGAGTCAGCTTTCAGTACCTTTGTAAATGGGATAAACATTTTAATGCCTATGTCCCTTTTTTTGGCTTTACACCTCTAATGGTCACACATCCACCCAGTATCTCTTTGGCTAAGAACTGTTTTGCACAGACCTAAGTGGAAAGGACAACATGTTACAGCAGTGCTTTAGCGAGGGTGTGGAGGGAGGGAGATGTAGCTTTCCTAAAGATATGAGCATTCAGATGGTGTGACAAACTAACTGACAAAATACTGACATCTGAAAATGTTTTTGCATGTGTACAGTGACACTTCTCTATGCCAGTTTTTAATACAAAAACTAATACTTTTTAGATCCCCATAAGCTTGGTCCTGCATCTGCTTGCTACTGGATGAAGTGCTCCCTGCCCTTGCGACCATTAGGACCACCCAGAGCAGTGAGTGAGCACTGCGCCTGGTAGCGTGTGCGTGGTCAGTCTCAGCCTTCGTGTGCAAGCTCTTCTGTTGACAGCCAAAATACATCACCTCAAGCATTCTCACACCGGCATCTTCAAACTGCCTCCAGAGGCTTTGCATCAAATAGCTCCTTCCCTAGCCTAGATCTTTATAAGGCATCTGATTAGTTGATAATTATCAAGTCACAGAAATGCATGATATCCTTTGCATGCCCGAAGATGGTTTATGAATGCTCAGTAACTCCATTAAAGCAGTTCATTGATTTATCTTCTTCATAGCTCCTTGCTTTTTGTTTTAACCCTGGTGCATTTGACTTGTTTTTCCTTTTAATTGTACTAAAACGCAAGCTAATACAGAATAGCAGAAAAGACATTTCTTAGAAGCAGTATATGGAAAAAGTCATTATGGCAGTATAGAGGAGGGGGGAAATATGTTGCCATATTCTCAAGAAAGTTTTGTATTTGTGTAACCACACACCTTGGAACACATCACTGAATGCATTAGTTGTGTATAATGTCTTAGAAAACAGGTTCCAAGTTTTGAATGCTCTTTGGCTTAGGTGATAACAAATGTCAAAAGCAAATAACAATGTAATTAGTCTACCAGAATCAAAGAAAACTGACTGATAGCATTTTTCCCCTTCTAATTTCAATTCTCTAGTTAACACTTAAATTCGTTGAAAGTCATAGTCAGGGAGAATCAGATATTATGTTTAAATATAAATCCATTTAGTTTACTGGTAGGACTTTCTGTTACTTAAAGTGGATAGTAATTATTTTCCATAGAAACAAATGATTACAAATAGAGCTTTATAGTCTTTTCATCTGCAATTCTTCAGAGAAATCTGCTTTCTTGCTTTACAGTAATTAGTGCATTTAGGATGAGTCAGGGACACAGACGAAGAGAAGGTAAATTTATACTTAAATATCTAAAATATTTATTAGGCCATCTGTGTTATGCTATTTACTATCAGAGTGAAAACTTTCTCCAACGATTCAGAAGTTAATATAGTGTGCAAAAACATTTGCAAAGTATTCAGTGTACAATATGCTCTTTCTATCTAGATGATCTGTCAGAAAGACAATGCACTCAAAACTGAGCTAAATTAAAAGAAAACAATAACTTTTTCTCTCCTCCTTAGGCTGCGGTTTGGAAGGAATTGCTGTTAGCAACTATTGGAGAGCAGTTCACAGATTGTTGTGCAGCAGGTAACTTGAAAATAATTTAGGTCAGAGTCACAATCACTGGACTTGAAGGCAGAGTATGAGAAAAGTACATCTGAGACATTTTCAGGATAAATTTCATCTCTGCTTGCAGGCTTGCATGTTCCATTTGGAAATGGCCTTCAGGAAGGGCTTGTGAGTGCTACTTTGCTTAAGCTGTATCATCAAATGTTCTGTCTCAGTAATGAACAGCACCTATGAGTGACCATTTCATACATGAAGGTTCAGTTGCAGAACAGTTTTTTTTAAGTAAAGCAAATGATAACTTATCAATCCAGTGGCCTACAAGGAGTAGATTCTAAGAACTGATTGCCAAGCTAACTTTTCAGTTTACTGTGATATTTCATCATTTCTTGCCACTATATTTACTTCTACATAATAGACATACATAAACCATTAAAGTGACTTTTAATGACAAGGAATATCTCATTAAGAAGTGTTACATCTCTGCTCTATCATTTAAGAGAAAAGAATTTGGTGTCTCTGAACAGAGTAACTCAGCAAGGATTTTTTTTATCCCCTCCCCTGCTTTCACCCTTTTTTTATTCTCTCTAGTATAGTTAATATAATAGTCATATAGCATTGAGTTGCTTGTGATGCATTAAGTTAGTTTTTTAAAATTTTTTTTCCCTGCCTCCTTATTCCTAGTTGAGCTGATATCAAGAAGGGAGAGTTTTGGCCCAGGCTAGGGGGAGGCAGAGGGTGGGAGGAAGGCAGGGGCCACTTCCCTTTCAGCAGCATCCTGGTCTCAGAGGGAGCTGTCGGCACCACTGTGTCCGGAGGAATTCCCGCAAGAAGTGCTCATGTTCAGAGTGAGCAGCACTAGTAGCAGCAGCAGGCCTGCCTGTGGTTTTGGTGACCTTTTTTTTGCTGCTGCTTTGCCAAAATGGAAAGGGAAAACACAGCAGTTCAGCTTCCAGTCTAGAAAGTAGTGTACAGTCTCTGCTCATGTTGGTCCCCCCCACCCCCCAATTTTTGCTTTTAGTAAGTTGAAGCACCTTATCTTTAGTATGTTAGTAGTTTTTTACTAGCTTTAATGACTATTGTGATCCCTTTCTAGTGTATTAATAAGGATGAATAACCCTTTGATAGTTCATCGAGACTCTTGTGAGTCAATATTTACAAGTGTTTCTACAAGCAATAATGTTTGTTTCTCTCTGGTATCTGTTTTGTCTAGTTTCACCAGTGGTAATCTCTTCTTTAGAAATTGCTCTCCTTCCTTTCTTGAGTTTGTTCAACTTCTGGGCAGTGTTTCATAATGCATAAGTACCAAATTAGATGTGTCTCACTTTTAAAGAATTCTTTAATAACGCTTCCTTTTCTGCACAGATGATGAAGTAATAGGGGTTAGCGTCAGTGTTCGTGACCGTGAGGATGTTGTACAAGTCTGGAACGTAAATGCTGCTTTAGCAAGTGAAGCAGAAGTTTTAGAAAAGATATATAGACTTCTGCCACACGCATCTTTTAAAGCAGTATTTTATAAACGTAAGTGTTTTTTATGAGTTCATTTCTACCTTTGTTAGAGAACTGAAGTGCCAGTAGGATATTTCCATGGGCATAACCTGCTTGATGCTTCTTTAGAGATTTAGAAATTTAGCCTTTCATTGCATTGATTTTTTTACTTCAAAGTTAGTGTTATGTCTCTTCAATGTCAGAGTTAGTTATCATTCAAAGCATAAAGTATTTAAAAATTAATTTTACAATAGACTTGGTTTCATATTTAATGTGCAAGAGTCCTAGAGTGAGTGATGAAATCTCTTGATAATTCTCAAGATTGCATGCCTTTTGATTTAGATATTCATATGGTCAACCATTTACTATGAGGTTTTTAAGGTATGTCTTATTTTAAGCTGTAAATAAATGTATTATCAGAATAGTCAATTGTCCAAACTACTTGCTTGCATGTTATGTTTTCTTTGACTGCTCACACGTTATCTTCTATTTTCTTCTCTTTAACTCTTGGGAAAGCTTGCATGACAAAGTTTGCACTTCTTATTGTTCCTTTTTCCTTCCCTCTCTCTTCTTTAGCACACAGAGAGCATCGTGCTTTTGAAGGTCAACGTGGAAAACACTAACTGCTCTCTGTACCAAGTTCAGTCTTTGTTATTTAGCATTTTCAAGGGCTGTGAGCATGGAGAAGGATGGACAAGAAGTGGAAGCACCTGCAGAAGTACCACGTGCAGTGTTCCCTTGATTTTTCTAACGTTTCCAATTGGGCTGTTGCTATCGAAAATAAGGGAGATTGCCTTAATTACTAAGTGCACAATTAAGTACTTTTAGTTTTTCATTGTTTCTTTAAAAATACTTGTCATCACTTTTTTCTTGACTGGACTGTATTTGTTCCTGTTTCAGTAAGGGAGAAAACTTTTGTTTCTTCTGTCCTTAGTTAAGTGCAAATGTGCACAAACATGCTGCTTTTTCTAGATGTGTTGTACATAGAGGAAAACTGGCTTGGTAAATATGTTTTCAATTTTCATTTTGAAACATTCCTATCATGTTAAGATTTACTCACTCTCTTTCTCCCAAGAGAAAGAAATTGTACTGCATTATTCTAACATACCATGTAATGTGGTCTTGCACTGGCAATAGCACACATACTGTAAGAGTAAATCATAATTACTGAATGAGAGACTAAGGAGAACACACTTATATTGGGACTAGCCCTTCATGAGATGACATTAACCAATAACTTCAGTAATTTCGAAAGAACGCTTATTCAGATTGAGAGATCTTTCAATAGGAAGCCCTTCAACTCTACCTCTCATTTTAGGAGGGGACGGTGTTTCTAATTATTTTGTGTTGTATACCTCCTTAAAATATTTTTCCACACTTTCAAAAAAAAAAGTGTCACTAATGATTTCTAATGCATTTGACTAATTAAATTCCTCTCACACTTGGATTATTTTAGGGCTCTGCCTGTACCCACAAAAGCATCAGTATCAGAACTGCTGTAGACTTCAGTGCAAAGAGACAGGTCCCATCATAAGTAGTTTCAAGCTGTCATGGCACCTTAAGTGATAATAGATATTTTTTTTAATATTTACTGAAAAGAAACGGATTTTTTTTACAGTGCGAATGTGAATAAGAGCCATGCTAATCTTTAAATATTTGTCTGTGTTATTTGAAGTGTCAGGTTTTTTTTGTGATGCTACCAAAGATTTGCTTGCTTCCTTTTGCAAGGAGCTGCTGCACGGCAGAGGTGCACGTGTGCTCCACAGAACATTGCTTCATTGTGAAGAGTCTTCATTTGGCAACTGCTCAAATTGCACTGATTTCCAAATGTTTAGTATATGAAAAGGCAGCCATTAGAATAAAATTAAATAAGCATTACATTTGAGATTTTTACGACTTCATCTGTATTTATAAATTAAAGCTGTGCAGTTAATGAACATTATTAATTAAACAAGTTTTCTGAAATCCAGTATCTTTGTAATTGCTTTCTGAGATTAAAAGTTACTGAGCCTTCTTTTTTAAACTCATGTGTTCCAGTTAATTTTTTCCCCTTAAAAGACATATATGTTCTGCTCATAGACAACAATGTTGTTTACATTGATTTTGTGTGTGTGTTAAATCAGAAATTAGACTTAAGATTTAGTTGTATCTCTTGTATATTTTCAGTTACTACTTAGGGTGCTTTTCTCACAGTTCAGGTTATTTTCTTGCAGTTCTTTGTGTACTTTTGTGTATTTTGTACAGGACTTTGTATACTTCTTAAAGTATACACGAGGCCTGAGGTTTAAAATAGCTCTTTTAAAAGGAGCTCTTTTTCTGTGACAGTAAGTAAATGAGTAAATTTAGTACAGTTTTTACTGAATAAGGTCTAATGTCTGTGCATGGGTCCCTCTCTGCAGAGAAGAATCTGGGTGTCATGATGGACAACAAGTTGACCGTGAGGCAGCAGTGCCCTTGTGGTCAAGAAGACTGATGGGATCCTGGAGTACATGAAGAAGAGTGTCTCCAGCAGGTCAAGAGAGGTGATCATCCCCCTCTATGCAGCCCTGGTGAGGCCACATCTGGAGGGTATGTCCAGTTCTGGGCTCCCCAGGACAAGAGGGATGTGGAGCTGCTGGAGTGTCCAGCACAGGGCTGTGAGGATGGTTGGGGCCTGGACCAGTTGCCCTATGAGCAGAGGCTGAGAGAGATGGGCCTGTTCAGTCTGGAGGAGGCTGAGAGGCACCTGCTGGGTGTCTATAAATACCTCAAGGGAGGCAGTGAGGAGGATGGGACTGGCCTCTTCAGTCTTGGCCAGCAATAGGACAGGAGAAAATGGTCATGAACTGAAGCACCAAAAGTTCTGCAGGAATTTAAGGAAACACTTCTTAACAGTGAGGGTGACAGTAGTGGAACAGCTGCCCAGAGAGGTTGTGGAGTCTCTGTCTGGAGATCTTCCAAACTCTCTTGGATGCAGCCCTGTGCCATATGCTTTAGGTGATTCTGCATGTGAAGGGGGTTTGGAATAGACGATCTCTAGAGGTCCCTTCCAACCTTGAGGATTCTATGATTCTGTGTTCAAAAACCTCCATTTTCATCTGCAATAAGAGGAACTCTTTCTAAGGAATGGGTAAGGGAAGGCCTCAGAAGAGCAGTTACTTGTTAGGTACTTGCTGATGTTTATGTTTTTGATGTATACAAATATGGAAAGGAAATACTCCCTGGCTGGTATAACAGAGTCAGAAGGCAATTTCAGATAAGTGAGGGTAGAAAACTTTGAGAACAATGTTTTCCAAAGCAGAGCAAGATTTTTCCCTTCAAGAACTTCCTCATCTTTGGAATACTAATAAGGAATTAATCATACACCTCACCCTTTCCTTGCTTTCCTTTTGGGAACAGGCCAGCACATCTTACCTCTCCTCCAGGTTTCTCTAGTGAGAGGAAATTCCCTGCAGCCTCCCTGGCTGCAGATACATTAACTGCAGGAGAACAGGATCTGCTGGCAGAAACAGCAAATTTGGTGATGTAACTGGAACCTGCTAGTTGAAGGTGCTACATCATTCATCTTACCCAAGGAAATAATTTTTGTGTGGTTCTCTTGCATGCCAATTTTTTTTTTTGGATACCTCTGTGGTTGAACATTGAATAGAGATTAAGAGATTTTATCCCAGCTCCATCTTGTTGTTCTAAGAGTTGTCCAAACTAAAACTTGTTGGCATTCTTTTTCTCTGTGTAGCTTGAAACTGGTTTCTACTGGTAATTATTATTACTGGATACAATGGTAGCTATTATTACGAGATAGCTGGGTTTGCAGTATCTTCTGACTAAAATTCAATATATTATATATCACAATCCAACTTCGAACTTGGATCAAAATGTGCGATATAAGTTCACAGGAACAAAACAAATCATATTTGTGAATTTTTAACCTTACAAACACTAAATCTAAGGCCTTTCTAGAATTTTTGAAGATTTATTACTTTTATCTGGTTCTCTGCTTCATTAAACACGATTAAATGAACTCTCCCCTACTACAACATCACCTAGCTTATTCCAGTGCATATGCAAATTCCTATCAAAATGAATTTCTTCTGGCATTTCAATGTATAACTAAAGCATTGAACATTCATGCTTACAACCACCAGCAAAGCTCTGACTAGGGTCATCCAGCAGCAGACTACAGAGACTGGTTGTCTCTTGCAGGGACCCCTGAGGACTGGGCTTTAGTTAACCCCAGGACCACTTTGGGGTTTTCTCTGCACCTTCCCAGACTTTTACAAGAGCACCCATGGGCAGCATTGTCTCAAGCTGCGCTGCCCTCAGCTCTCCAGGGCCAACCAGGGCTGGGCCATGGTCCTTGGCCACTGCTCTTGCACCTTGGACGTTTTAGGATGCAGCAGAAGGGTTTGCTTGTGCCACGTGGATGCTCAGGGTTTTGTTTTGGAGAGCAGGGTTGAAAACAGCATGGGAGGAGCAGGAAAAAGGTCTAGGAAGATGTATGTTGTTGTTGTTGTTATTGTGTGATGTGCCTTAGAAACACGGCTCGATTGCCTCCCAGGAATGCATCCCAGCAGCTGCAATTGCCGGAGGCTGTGCTAGGTCTTCCGTGTGCTTTTATTTTGGTACGGCGGGTTCAGAGTGTGCTTGTACATCCTCATCAGTAATAATTAGCTGAACTTAACGCTTCGAAATGATGAATGCAGAAGAGGCGCAGGCCATAAGGGGGTCGATCAATACTCAGCCCTTGCCAGCTGGTAGGAGCACAAAAGAAAACAGGCTTCATATTCTTCTTCAGTCTTCTAGAGCAAGACTGACTAGAGGGCATGAAGCTTAAGAGTCTGCTTAAAACACAAATGTCAGTGCAACAGAGGGAAACTGCTGATTCAGAGTAGCTTATATAAATACTTATGTACCTACTCGGATGCAAAAGGTATGTATTTGCAGTTGGAAGCCATTTATTTCTTTGTCTTCTTTTTTTTTCATGTCTTTTTTTTTTTTAATAATAGGAGAAAAAAAAGATGAGGAAATTAGATTAGACAAAGAGTGAGATCTCTTGGTTTGCTATAGAAGCCATTCCCAATCTTAGCTGCTCCTTAAAGGGTCTCAACTTCCTAATTTGAGAGGTTAATGAAGCCCGAGTTATCGTGGAGCTGGCACGCTTGTCCCATGGCACAAGTGTCGGGAAATGTTCCGCATGGGAACTCCAGCAGTTCCCGCGGTGGCAGCAGGGCCTCATCTCCAGAGGGGACAGTGGGGCTGCCAGGGGCCAGGAGCAGCATCTCCTGCCTTACTGTTCCCCAAATTGCTTTTTCCTCCCCAAACGGCTTGTTGCAAGGCTGCTGCCCACACTGCGTTTTCTCTTGTGGAGAAACTAGGGGGAAAAGGGTTTTCTATCAGTGCTGCTGCCAGCAAAACTCCATAAATCGGCAAAGCAGAGCAGGCTGAAAGCAAAGACCAAAGTAGGTATCATTCATCACACGAGGGGGCCTGGAGTTTGTTCAAGCTCCTAATGCGTACGGGCCAGCAGTGTTATGAATAGACACGGGATGAATCCCCTTCTTTTTGGATCATGAATCTGTGTAATAAACATACAAGACAATTTGTATAAAATAGTGAGGATTCTTTCCTAGAGAGGTCATGTAAAGCTATATTTGCACATCGGGGAATTGTTCTCGGGAACGTTTGGCAGTTCAATTTCCATACAAACATGCAAAGTGAAAACAATGCGTTTCCCCAGTGATGGCTAGTGCATGGAAACCTGGGTGACATGGAGCAGCTCGGTGTCCCACGCTGCCCACGGGGACATCTCATTGCTTGTGCCACCTTAACAACAAACTGCTACGTGGCCACAGGGTCACCAAGGTCCCAAGCCTGATGACCACCGAACTGCACTCAAGCCCCACAGATGATCCCCAACAACTCCTTGCTTTCCCAAGCCAACTTTTGGTTGGCTTTTGCCAGGCAAAGACCCAGAGGTTTTTCAAGAAGAGGCATTTTGTGGCAAGAGATGTGCTCTCCCAGCTTGCAGGATGCTCTTCTGGAAAACACTGTAAAGAGGGGTGAAAAATGTCCTTTTTTATGATTTCAAATGGCGCTGTGTTCCCTAAGAAAGGAATGTTTTTGGATTGGCGGGGAAACAATTAGCTGAACTAGCACTAGTCCAGGAAGAAGGCAAAATATAGGCTTAACCTTTCCAGGGCCAGGGTGTTGCTCCTGGGTGCCTTTAGCCAGTTTGAAGGCCTCAGACTCATCCTACTGCAGGCAGCAGCACTTGTGTCTGCCCAGGTGCTCGCTTGGGTGCTGAACCAGGTGTTGTGAATGAGGATGGGCTGGGCTGGGACTTGGGTTTCTTCCACAGGAGGAGCTGATGCTTGGGTGCTGTGACTGCTGCATGGACACTTCTGCTGCTGGGTGAGTTATGCTGCTAGTTCTGGGGAGGAAAAGGTTGATTTTATTTTTTGCTTGCTCAGACTTACTCCTGTAGCTCTCCTGTGATGATTGCAGTGCTCAAGGGGGAACACAGGGGCTTCAAGCCTGCCC